ATAAAATTATGACAATTAAGAGTTAATAATGATTATGTTAATAATATTTATATGACATATTACACACCCAAATAATTTACGGTGTCGTTCACACTAGCGACATAAGAATATATCTGTTGTAAAAGTTTATCTACATAATATGGTATGACTCATATGGGTTCCGTATTGAAGTCTTTCATACAAGGTGCTTATAAATCACGTAAAGATATTGTTAGATCCAATTAGTAGCCTCATTATAATAGCTTTGCATTGAGAGACAATCACAATAAGCCTGTAAGCTTTTCGAAATTAAAGAATAAAGGTTAATTACTAGACACATCCGGTTAATAACAATGACTTAATTATTAAAACCAATTCCATGTTATCTTTTAAAACCATAACTATATTAATACTGGCCATTACTGGCCACGTCACTAGTAAAATAAAAAAGAATGACTGCGTCACGGTATTTACTTCTATTATAATAAATACATACCTTGTAGGCCATAGTGATCCCTACCGCCCAACCAGTGTGCGCTGAAGTCTTATCTTATTCAATTGAAGCTACCGCTTTAAAGAAAAAAAAAATGTGGGAGTACAGATCTAAAAGGTCGGGTTGGAAGGAAAACTGAGTGTGTTAGGACGTGGTGTAGTGTGTAATGTATGTGTAGTGTGAAGGTGAATATCGGAGAAGATGGAGACACGGAGTTGGAAGCCTCCGCCATCCAACGTTGGAAACCGAGGGCGAAGGTGCAGGACCGGAACGCAGCGGGTTTGGCACGGAGAGTTGGAGGCCTCCGCCCTCCAAGGTTGGAAACCTAGGGCGGAGGTGCAGAGCCGGAAAGCAGCGGGTTCGGCGCGGAGAGTTGGAGGCCTCCATCCTCCAAGGTTGGAAACCTAGGGCGGAGGTGCAGAGCCGGAACACAGCGGGTTCAGCGCGGAGGCGGTGAGTGGAGAGGCTGTACCGACAGCGGCGGTAGTGCAGCAGTGGATTTTATCACTTTAAACTCTGAGGTGGAGTTCTATTTCGTCTGTCACTCCTGCCGCTTCAAGCTTGGTTGGTGAAGTTGAGATACACAGTCCAGGTAGGAGGAGCGTAAACGTGACGTCCAGGTTTAGCGTGAGGCAGTCGAGGACCTGGTCATCAGGCAGGCGCGTAAGCACGCTAGGAGTAATGTCAGGGGTGTAGGGCTTCAAAAAGGTGAGACTTCGTATATTTATAGAAGACCAGATCGCCTCCAAGGCTAGTACAAGAATTTTTTAGAGCGAGAGAGAGAATCGAAAGTCGAATAGCCAATTTTGAATTTGAAATGCAGAGCCAAAATGAGAGCAGCCAGGAGCGGAAACGCTTCTACCGCTAAGATTACATATCAAAGGAAAAGTAATTTATTCGATAATCTTTGGAAGAATGGATTGTTGACGGGTAACATCTCTGTCAATCAATGTCAACATATAAAAATATTAAATACGTAACACAAATGTGCATAAAGTGAAATTGATGAAATAGTACGTACGCCAAGGTCGACAGATCAGACGTGAAAAGTGAGTAAATTGTCAAAGTGCGAGAAATAGCTCACAATAGCAAATTTAAGTAATTTAGACACTAATATTTTAGTAAATATTAGTTGGAACTCTTTCAGGAATCAGAAAAAGTAAGGGTGTTTACTAGAAAAATGAGAGAGATGAAATGAAAGGTATCCGTAGTTTCACACTACAAATTATCTATATAAACTTCACTATATACATAATAATTTCTTTTCCTTGTATTTTTTTGTGTTAAGTTTATATAAAAATTACGTGTTTTCAATTCTTTTTAGGGGTGGTGGACGTTAAAATTTTATTTATCTTGCCTAAGTGGGCGGTGAGACAGAAAGTTTGGAAACCTACATTCTATAACATAGGTTTCCTAACATGCATAATAATATAACAAAACACTAATGGCTATTATTATTTACACGTATTGTCTGCGACGTGTGACTCAACGTTGGTGTGCGATAACCGGCCTCGGAAACGTCGATATATGACACCCTTCGGCCAAAACTCATCCTTCATGAAGGTCGACAGATATTGAGTTGGTACTATGACTGCGTAACTCAGATTGCTTTGCGCAGAGGTACTTTTATAAGAAAACTCAATAAATATAATTGTAACGTGTCGTAGTCTGGAATCTAGTTTCGAATTGTTAAGATCTTCTTATCTTTTTTCTCTTATTTTTTTAAATACATTCTAAACCCAAACCTATATTCATTCAGCCAGTATTTCTACTCATAGAGTAGATCCTATACTACATCCCTGTTCCTTACAACTGAAGGAGTGAACATCTCATTATCAGCCTTCACTATAGGCTAGCCATACACTGCTCGGAAGCTTCTAACTTACCAACAAGTAAACCACCGAGGAGGCTGTGGCTTTAGTCTGCCAAAAACCTATCCAAAAGGACAAACGATGACCACATCCTAATCAAACAATTCAACATTCGTTATCATTTCGTAATTTATTCGTTAACTAACCTAGCTAATCAGATAACCTAAAGCCCTAACACTTTATTTCATCTAAAACCCTCACTATCTAGGTAAACTATCTAAAACCTAACTCCCTAAATCCTAAACCCTGTCTTGGCTGAATGTCCCTAACAAATCTTTAAACATCACTACTTGAACTTCCTAACTGCATCACTAAACTATCTTCAGCGCGCACGCTGCCACGACAACGACATAGGCTTGAGCACCCATCGGGCGATCACTGGGTAACATCAACATTGATCTCCCAGCTGCCTTAGTCCTCATCCTGCAACTATCCACGTTCCATCAGCTTTTCTCACTTTCTTTAAACAAACCAGAACAAACACGCAAATTACCCTAACAACAACATTTCCTAACACACGTGATATCACCATATATCATCAATATATTTTCCTTGATGATATATCATATCTCATATCGATTAATTATTAGGAATCCTCCATGGATTCCTAATAATTAAACAAATATATTTTCCTTGAATGCAGACAGTTCTTGTTCATCTGGGAGAGTGAACACGAACTATGCACACACACAGGACAATATACCCATCAAATAAAAAGTAAGTTATATCTATCCAAGTCGGTAGTCCATCTTCTTCTCCCGTCCTTCTAAGTCTGCATTCGCCGGAAAATAACAAATTCCATCAAAATATTCGTCACAATGTCATCATGGCTCCATATGAAAACAAACACAAAAGATTAACAAACCTACTAGAAACTAAAAAAACATTAAACTACCTACTATAGAACCTATTCAATGAATGAACCTTTTCTATTCACATGCATTAGATCCTGCCTAACCGATCTATTCCTATTTACATCTATTCTTCTCACAATATAATTAACTCTACTCAATCGATCTATTACTCTATACGGCCCTTTAAACAATCTAGCTAATTTTACACTTCTGTAGGAAACTCTCCTAGGACAATATAACATTACCAAGTCTCCTGGCTGATACACAATTACTTTTGCTTTCTTATCATAATTTCGCTTTTGTTTTATATGCGAACGAATAGCGTGGCCTATTCGTTCCTTAACCACATCAATTAACGTTGCTTGTTTTGCATCTTATCCTGCAAATTCTCCGCAACATTGACATAATTAATCGCCAGTTCTATATCTGATGCACATAAGGACTCTCTACCGAACAAAACCATATATGGTGACACCCCGGTACTGCTATGTTTACTAGATGCGAAATATACCAATGGTAACCTGGTACACCAAATCCTTTGTTCGCCTCCTATATATTTCGCTAACATTCCTAACAGCGTCCTATTAAATCTCTCACACAAACCATTGCACTTCGCGTTGAATGCCGTAGTATGCACCATAATCGCTCCCAAATCTCGCGTTGTCTCCTCTACCAAATGAGAAGTAAACACTGATCCTCAATCGCTTAAAACGTCCATGCACCGCTACGGACTGCGTTACTACGGTCGAGTCTAGTTCCATGGTGCGGGGATGCGACTAATGAGTAATATCATTGTCTGTGGGACGCCTTTAAATTCACAAAAGCATAGCCATGTATAACAACTATTTACTGAAGTCCAGACTATGGAGTTGTTCGGGTCTTACGGAAGTTGATAAACTATTTCATTTTATTTGAGAATGATTACAAACTTACATACGTTAACAGTATGCATAATATTCTTATTAAGCTAATGTTTATGTAGTAACATTCTATATTTGAATTAAATTATATTTTTCTTAATAACAATGTCCATTTGTCGAGTTCTTAGGTTTTCGCGATTGTTACACATAAGAAATGAAACTATTTTTCCGGATTTAAATTGCGTACCTATATTTGTTTTTTTCAAGCAAACCAACGTTTCGGGCCCTTTACCGGTCCCATTGTCACGGTTGACTGAACATGGGACCTGTAAAGGGCCCGAAACGTTGATTTGTTTGAAAAAACAAAATACGTGATTTAAATCCGGAAAAATAGTTTCATTTCCTAAATGTCCATCTTCCAGTACTCACTCAAATATAAACGTGAAATGATTTGTAAATGACAAAATTTGTAAATCACTGAATAAATTTGTAATTTATGAATATTAATCGAAACTTTGCGAATAAAGCATTGACTTGGTATGTCAATGAAATGAAGTAATAAATTAAAACTTTATCTAAGCTATCTAAGCACCAAGTTATGTGATCTTGACCTTACATAAACATTCTAAAATCGAATGACAAGTATTTCTTTTTATACTCGTTTATGTATATGTATATACAACATAAAAGTGTCGCTTCTCGGCAATTCCATAGATACCCATAAAAACAAAACGCAAATGAGATTAAATTTCTGAGCTAAATAAATATGATGACATAATAGGTAAAATGCGTGAAAAAGTATACGATTTATATCAACAAACAAACAAGTTCGGCATTACTGTCATCTGGAATAGCCAGACCTTTAGATGTGGGAAAACCAGGTAGAGAAAGAGTGGAGTATATATTTGTCTCTCGCCTTCATTGGATATAAAATTTGGACACAGATCAGGCCCCAGCAGTCCTAAATTATCTAACGCGAAAGTCACATCATTTTTTGCATACTTCTAATTAGCTGTACAAAATGGTAAGTACCTAAAGATCTGTGAATTAATGTATTGTACTGTATCAACCTATATACGTGTACTTCCCAATTTTAAGCTTAGGTGTCCTTTTAGAAATTTTGACACAACATCACTATCTTTATCTAGAATTACTGAAATTATATTATTTATTATAAAAAGGGGATTAAGATTTGAAAGATCTAGGTATTGTAAATGATATCCATCTCTGAATAATGGTATTTAAAAAAGTCTCCAATTTTTATCCACAGATTAAGATCACATTTTTACTTATGATGATCGGCGTTTGCCTGACTTATCCAGCTGATGAAGTAAAACCCCCAATAGTAAACGTCGTGCCAGAAAATGTTCGAATGGATCCAGTACCTAACCAGCCAGAACCTGAACAAGTCCCAATTTCTGAACAAGAATCATTCGAGAAACCAGAGGAAGATTTGACGACTGACAACACCTATTGGTGGCGTAGATCTTATTATCCTCGCAGAAGATCTTATTATTACTACCCCAGGTAAGTAAGCCACTCAACACACGTGTATTATCCAAAACCTGACGTATCCAAACTGGAATCTGCAGTGTACAAGAGAATTGTAATTCTGTAAAATTAAACATTTTACGCAGCGATTTTAGGCACAAGTGTGCCCTTTTGATATCTACAACAAAACTTACACGTTAATACACTTTTTATAATTAAGATGTCACCAAATAATATACATAATAATATTTTGTCGGTACTGGTTTCTTCGTAGGCTTTAATGTATGGCATTAACTCATACTCTTGGTCTTGTTGTAAAAAGGCCACATCTGCAAAATTACAACTTTATAGGAGAGGTTAAAAGTTCTACGATTTAAATTAGTCGAAAACTTTTTTATGTGTAAATAGGAGAGTACTGCCGCCATTAGTCGAAAGGATGAATGTGATGTTTAAAAAAATAATTCGTTGCGTATACTGACGTGATCGGTAAATAATCTCAGTACAGAGTACTAATAAACCGACCTCAAAAGTCATTCATGCCCTAGTTTGCCACCCTTAAATGTGGAATAATTTCTTTAAATTTAAATGGGACCACTGCTGACGTACCCTCTTGCCGACAATAAAAGAAAAAATCGGTTCACAAATGCCGAAGTTATCGCGTAATATATGTACATACAAAAAAACATACTGTCGAATTGAGAACCTCCTCATTTTCTTTGAAGTCGGTTAAAAGGCCGATCTGTTACTATTTTTACTTTTTCTTAAGTGGATAGGGTATGAAGTTACCGCAAGACAAAAGTAGATTATTTTTAATTTAGTTTCTAACATTATTTTCTCGATTTTGAGTTTTGTTACAAGCGCCCTTTCCAGTAACGGTGGCAGAGTTATAAAATTTCACCTTCACATAATTTTCTTCAAATAGTTCGTATTATTTTTATCTATACACTATATGTGTAAGTTTTAGGTGACAAAAGCATACCAGGGTATGAAATACAGGCTACATAGGTACACTGAAATATAACTGTTTAATTTGCGACTTAAAATTACGGTTTTGGCATTTAAAATAAAGATACCGTTAACTTGTTACAGATCATTTTCGTACTACAAATCTTACCCCTACTACAGCTACTGGAACCCCTACAGCTGGTGGTGAAGTACAAGCGGCTGAAACATAACTACCGGAAATATTGTGATTTTTATGTATTTTAAAAATAAAATAAGGTTTTTAATTAAATTTTTCCTAACTTCGTTGCCTGTACAGTACATAAATACAGAACATAATTTGAAATTTTTAGATTTAAATAAAACTATTATGATAGGATTCAAAAACATACTTTTCCTATTATTGTTAATCTAATTTCAATGATAATCATACGATGCCGACGCCTATGTGGTCTAATTTGCAAATTCCGTCATTTCTAAATACAGATATAACACCCACATAAACATAACAATAACAAGCAATAACAAGATAGAAGTAGGATTTTTTGCATCGAAATCAAATCACAAATGGTAAACGATAAACTAGAAATTAATGAATTGTAATTTTTCAAATACTCATAGAATCTTAACTATAGACAAATAAGTGATTCTATTCTAGTCTATTCATTTATTTATAAATAAATATACATAATAATGCCTAAACAGATTAAAGCGGTACAATAAACAGACTATTTATGAAGGCGGCTTGACGTCAGTAGCCTGGTATAAAGAATTAATAGCAATATCTGAAGACACGAACGCCATTGACTTAGCCAGTGTAGCTAAAGATATGGTGTCCATTACAATCCTGTTGGCAACGTGATTGAGATTAGCACCATGTGATTGTGCGGTGTACTTCAAAGCCAATTTTATAACGCGTTCACTAGCTAAAGATTTAGATGTAGCACTTTTAGCTTCCTTTCCAGCTTGTTGAGCTGCAGTCTTCGCCAAATTCATCATCAAGTCTTGATGATTAGACATGCCGTTCTTAGCATATTTCACCGACATTTCGACTTCGATGCTTGCCGTCAATGCACGCCTCATCGCAACGACGCTAGCAGCGGTTAAGTATGCAACGTCGCCAGCGTAAAGTATGGCTTTCTTAGCTTTCAATTCCAATCTCTCTAATTTCTGCTTTTGTTTCTTTTCATTGGCCGCTTCATCATCTGCATTGTCGGGTTGATCAATCTCCAAGTCTGCAGCTACGTCTGCGCTCATCGCGGTTTTGTAAAGATTGTCCCTAGGATCGGCAAAATCATCTATAAGCGCTGGTGCGTTCAATTCTTGTGCATCTAATGTCTGGGTGTCAACAGAGACGATATGTGTGTCATTTATTGATTTTTCCATAACAATAGGATCAGTATTGCTAGCATTTCTTTCAGCATTTTCTATATCCAAGGCAGTTCGATTTAAGAAACCTTTGGTGGTCAATGCCTTAACATGTGGCATGTTCATGGTATTTACCGGCTTTTTTTCATTTCGTGAGATAATGGAATACGGTGTAAGATGTGGTTGTTTTAGGTATGGCCGTACCGTAGAATTGGCTTTAGCTTGGCTAGCTGAGAGTGACTTATTTATAAGAATACTGTGGAGAATGGGATGAGCAGTTGATGGTAAAATTACTGGAGGAGCACGTGAAGTAGTAGAAAGAACATCTGCAGGTGCATCTCTTTTCTTTCGCAATGATAGATCCACTGATTGCTTCTTTGACAGAGCCGTAGCATATGTAATATCTTTTAAAGCAGATACTATAGAGACTTCAGCTGCAATTTGACCCAGGCCATAAACTAAGCGGTGAAGCTCCGGTTCCGTAGACGCTCTTGTAATACTCAAAATGTGTCCAGATAAGGTCCTTGATATATAATCGAGAATTCGTCGTGTTTCAATAGCAGTGATGCCTTTACTCTTACCAGGTGCTTCAAGAGCTTCTCTAGTGATCCTTGTTATTTTGTCTTGAATCTCTAACTTTGATAAAATTGCAGAAACCAAATCCTTTGATATTTGATAAAGAGTTTCTTCTGTTTGTGGATTATCGGTCAAATTCTTGCTATTTTTGAACACAGTGTTATCAAGATGTTTCAGAACTTTGTAAGGTGTGTTTAGAAATTTATCACTGGTTTTCATATTCAATTTCTGAGAGACATCATGAACTGGTGATATTCCTGCTATAGTGATACGGACCTGCGATAATTGCAATTCAGGTATTATAAATAAAACCATTCACAAAAATATGACGCTATAACTATACAAATACTTACACTCAGAATCCCAATGCAAAATGATGTAAAAAACCGATATTTACACATTTTTATTTATGTACACGAGTTGTTTTAGCAAAGCCAGGTCTTCAAACGATCTGAACGTTGTTAGTTTAACAGTCGCTACTTTTAATTGTTTTCGATAATTCTATAGCATTTTTATTGCCAATTCTTAACAAGGTATTAGTCACTTAATTGGGTCCTACCGTTTTGCTCTAGTGTATCATCTCTACACAGCCACAGTACTCGTAGTACAAAAATCTTTAACCCGCAAAAGCGTTGTACATATTTATCCTCTTTTTCCTATGTTCAATTTTTCTATAAACATACAGTGGTCTATAAACATAGTTGTTGCTCCCAGCTGTCTCCATTATTTCGGAATCAATTTGAACTTTTAAGTCAGGAACTTTGTTATCAAGGGAAATTTCATCATTACTTTCAGCAGCCACAAGTTCTGCTGCGTCCACTTTAATGTCATCTGGAATATTTACATCTTGTACATCAACAGTATCTAATTCTGTGACCAAGTTTAGTGCACTGATTTTATAAAACACAAATACAAATAAAAGTAGAATGAAACTAGTCTTTACCATCATGATGATAAAAAGAATAAAACTAGAACACAATATTTTTATAGGTAAAGAAATGTAATTACTTATGTGCTGTTAATAAATAGTAATTGTGTTATATAAATTATAACAAGGTCGAGTAGCAAATTAACATTAAAGTGTTAAATTATTATTCCAGTAAGATAAAAAAGATAGCAATAGATAATGATGAGTAATTTATTTTAGGTCTAAATATTACTGACCCTATTAAAGCAGATACTTACTATAAGGGAATTTTAAAAAGGCAAGGGAGTTGTGTCATATTTATAAGAACGACTTAGTAGAAGAATGGGAATGTAGTGCAAAATAGATAGGTAGGTAAAAAAATGCCATATAATAGTCATACATGCATTTATTTTAGGTAAATTTTCACAGTACTATATACATAAAAGGTTTAAACAATATATTGAAGCTCATACTTTAAACTAGACTGTAATACGCAAATCGAATAAATTAATTCAAAATGATAATTGTTTTTGAATATTTTTTAAAGCAGACGTTTTTAACCAAGGAAAGCTGGTAAGACTCGTATACGACCACGGCCTAGCAGTGCGGAAGGTCCTCCAAAAGGTGCAGCATCCACTTCGCTGCCTGACGGAAGCAAGTCGCTCTCTTGGCCACCAATGCTACGACGGTTTCTCAATAATTCCTTAGGCTCCGATGATTCTTCGCCCACAGCACCAGAGTTGGCACCATCTTTTCCTGATACCACAAAAAAGTAAACTATAAAGACAGCTGTTTATCTCGCTGGGTTCAATCCTTTATCATTATTTTAATAAGTTGCAATAATAGTAAATAAAAGCCGATGGATAACATGGTAAGCATATCGTTTAACATACGAGCAGTGTTGATGAGTACCCTATTACAGAAAAGTTTTCAATCACAAAATATTCCTATCATATCTACGTACATAGGTACAGTGACTTTATACAGAAGGCTAAATGCATAGTTTATTGATTGGCTGATTGTGTACTGCATTATTTAGTTCGTCTACTGTATTAGAATTCTAAACCTTTCGACGTAGGTATATAATCAATTGGTATAACAAATTATAGAATCTAAATAAGATCCAAATAAGTATATTTATTTATTTAGCACTAAATAAATGTTGTGCAAGTTGTTTTAGCATCTACTGATCTGTTATCTAAGTACTTGGTGCTGTCTAGGCACCTACTGGGTGCTATTTAGGTATTAGGTGCTATCTAGTCACGTATAGGACAAACTAATTAGGACATTTAGGAACTATATTATGCAAATAACCTAGATTTTCGTAATAACCTCTACGCTACAATAGGCAGAGGGTAGCTAAGTATTAAGAATTTAAAAGCAAGTATACCCAGTTCAAATAAGTATGCAATGTATTGGAGTTTGAAACAAGATTGAGTATCATACAAAACGAGGTTTTAAACAGAAACAGCAGCAGGAGGAAATCATGATTACTGTACAGAAATGCCGAGAATCAAGTACTTTAATTCGCACTTGTACCGCAATAAGGCCACATAGTACACATGTAAAGTAACAACTTTACAGAGTAGAGGCTTAAAGTTGCTACGAACGAAATTAGTTGGTAACTGTTAAGGCTTAAATAGGAGAATTATAACATTTCATAACATACACAAATAATTTGTTTCATGTAGTCCGAACTCTTTTAAAGACTTTCATGTTACAAAAGCACTTACGACGTAATCATGTGACTTTATTACGACCAAAGGTATGAATTGCAGCTAACTATACCATGCCAAAAATTCTAATTATTATTATAAAAATTATCTTTAACAGTTTTTTTTAATATACTAAGTGTTGGGACGAACAAGTCGTGCGCCTGATGGTAAACAACACACCTGTCCATAACAGTTGCAGTGCCACTCAGAACTTTAAATAGCAAAGATCTGAGGTACACTGCCTCTGTGCCCATGACCCTGAGACATAAGTTGAAAAATCCCCATGTGCCTGTAATTTCACCTGCACCCTTACCTTTCAAAACCGGAACGCAGTAATGCTCACATTAATGCTTGGCGGCATAAATAGGTAAGGTGGCAGTACTTCCCTCTTTCACAAAGAGTTTATACCCTAATGGTCGGTAGGGAGCGTCACTATAATCAAAACTAATGTAAAAAGATATGGGGCTACTACATTCTACATAAAAAGAGGCAGAGCAAATTCTTACCTGTATTTGATGGTGTTTGAACTTTTGGGGGGGATACGTGCTGTATTACCTCCTCTGTGGGTGCGCATGCGCAATAAGCTAACAGCGCGAATGACGCGACGATTAACAGCGTTGAATGCATTTCCGAGCGATCCTATCTTGTCTTAACTTCAAAGAAATATATGACAACAATATGAAGCTAAAGGTTTATATACTACAGCGTTAGTTACATAGCACATTATATTTTATGGAAAAAGCAAACACTGCTGATTGTTTGTGAAGTAAAAATAAATGCACGATCAGTGAGAACTCTATTACGACTATTTAGATTAGGATTTAGGATGATTTACTAAAGTTTTTTATTTTACTTCTACGTATCAAATTTAAATGCGCCATTAATCAGATAGAATTCGATAAACGGTGCCACATAGTTTTTGAAACACTGGATAAAGTGGTGAGTACCACATACATACACTTATATCAAAGTACTAAAATTCCTCATTTTCGACGCTCTAGAACATGGTTTATATTTAGAATAGCGTAAAAATAAAAGCTATAACAAACTCTCCCGACTTCCATAAAAAGTGACCTAATCAATATAAAATTTCAGGGAGCCTTTAAAATTTTATTTTATTTCTTACAAGCTCTTGCATACGACATAAACTTTACATAAGAATATGTATCTAATTGTATTTATTATTAGGGTAGAGAGCTACATTTACCTTCAGTCCCCAGATCAGCGTTCTTCACTTTCGATGAGCGTGCTGCTTTCCACACATTATACAAAGTAATATCATAAATGCGAAAGTAAATCTGTCAGTTACGTTTCCACGCGGCCAAACCAATTTTGATGAAGATGATGATCCGGCCGGATCGAAGGAATTTTTTCTGAGTGTTCGATCTGTGTATTAATAATTATAACAAACTAGTGGAATAATTTCACAAAAAAAATCAATTCAATAAAATATTTAACAATTTTGATGAATTTTAGTATACGAACATAGACATAGATGGGACTTAGGACCTAGTTTTTGTCGTAAAAATAAATCTTATAGAGGGTGAAACAGGAAAGTATGTATGGAGAACCAATAAAACAATGAAAATTTGTACAGTAGGCTACTGGAAGTAGGTATCTACTTATACTTCACAGACGAAGTCGCAGACACCAGCTAGTAGCTAGTAATATATAAGACGGTTAATTGGTTTAAGATCTGTGAGAGAACTGGAAACTAGACATAGAAACATGCACATGTACGGTGTGAAACGGCCAATCTTTCCTTTAGCTTTGTCGACGTCGGATATAATCTTAAAATGAACATGGATAAGGCGAAGATTATGTCAAATAGTCATGTACGGCCAACAATATAATAACAATAATAATATATCTAATAATTATAATAATATAATAATAATATAATAAGGAAACTCTGGGTCACGGGTGCCATGAACACACACGTAGACACACACAAATTACACCCAAACTTACGAGATAAATAAATGTAGGCCATACAAAAATATTCCAGATGCCTCGACGCAGCGTGTATCTCCACCATCGAAAAAAAGAAAAGCATGGGATCCTGTCCAGATGAAAAAGGCAATAAAAGCGGTGAGGACAAAGGCCATAGGCTGTAAAAAAGCTGTGAAAGCTTTTCATGTACTTGCCCTGGAGCAAAAGTTAGTAGACTACATTTTGTTCATGGGGTCTAGATAGTATGATGGATGGACTTACTAGAATGCATGTTCGAAAACTGGCCTATCAGTAGGCCTTGAAAAATAACATTGAAAATAAATTTTAAAATGATATAGAATGACGTGGACGGGGACGCGATCTGGATAGTCAAGTTGGAGGGGCTAGTGGCAGCAGAGCTAATAGACGCCAGAGAGACGTCACACCCAGGAGTAGCTCAGAAAGTAAAGCTGTTTTAGAAATGGACTCTGAATATGACGACGACGTCTACCCAAGTAGGATACCTGAAGGCTTAGATACAAACTGCGTATTCTGCGATACCAGGTATTCTAACAACAGACGTGGAGAGAAGTGGATTCAATGACAGAGTTGCAACTTATGACTCATACAGCATGCTCAGGTTCTGAAGGCGAATATTACATCTGCGATATTTGCCGATAGATTTTTAAATAAGGCCAATACATTTAATATGACCCCCCGGGTGCCCTTGATCTCGAGTTGCTAAATTTGATTATTTTTTAAATACACATATTTTTTATTATCCTGTGGTTATTTTATTTATTCCATTATAAAGTATGCATAGGTACCTAAATGAATAAAGATCACTATAACGTATATATATAACTTCTTCGTCAAGTATTTTTTAAATGAAACCAATAAAAGAAAGTAGGACACATTAGAACCTTTTCCTCTACTATTTTATTTTTGTAATTTTGCTTTGTTAGGAACAATCCTGTGTCAATATTTAAAAAGCCAAAATATGTACTATTTATCACTACGTACGTACATCAAATATTTTTTTGTACTAAATAAAAAAGCAATCAATTTTATAAAACCTTGGTTCAAGGGTGTTAACGAGATTCCAAATGCGTAGGTATGATGCGATAAGAAAAATGAACAACAAGAACAAATTATCACTGCATCACGTGCGGATAACACACCATAATAGGATTCTATAGAAACTATAAGAAATATTGTTAAATACTTGAATATTGTTGTGGCAATAAAGAATAAGTTATTTGGGACAATTAATTTAGTCAGATATTAGACGGTATTAGAATAAAAGGTTACTCTATAACTGTAATACATCTATATTTTGTAGTATAATGCTCTGGCCACACAGAGGTGGTAAAAGGAGCGTTCCGGGCGGGGATTTTTTGTAATGATCCAGTTCATAATGCACCCTGCTACTTTGAAATCGAGTGGCTCGGGGCACCGCGGATCGGAGCCAAACGCTGACAACACGCGTTCGCCACAGACGGATAAAATTCCGAATAGAAAAGCTAATTCAAAACATATTTAGAAAGATATAGCAACAAAGGCAACAAGATGCCTATCTGTTATCTCTACTGTACAGATATATGAATTACTTGAATAAAATGCACTTAAAAATGCACTTGAATAATATGAACTTTGTTACGCACAGCGTATCATAATAAATATAATTATACTCGTGGAATAAGCTTTGATTAAATCCGCATCATAGTGAAAGTGTTGAATCAATCATTTTGGAAAAAATACACAGTAAAATGGAGGATGTGCACTGATTACTACGGTATACGGTGTGAAAACACGATTTGAAAAAATTTTCTCGATAGAAAAAACACAAATATACCTCGAAATCTTAAAAGAAAACCGGTGTATTCAATAAGTACATTAATACACCAACGATTTTTTTCAATATCAACTAAACTAAACGGAACACGTATTTAAGTTTTTTATTCTATAAGATAGCCGTTGGTCTTCCAATAAATAAAATAAATAAATAAAAAATATACATTTTTCAAATGTCTTTAATTTCGTGTAAAAATATTAATTCGGAAATAATGCCCGTGGCCCGGCCGCTCGACCCAAGCAAAATGACCCGTATTAGTACGTGATAAATTTGAATTTGAGCTAAGCACAGACCACATAAATACTTAACTAAGGTAGTATCTACTCTTAGGTAAGTATTCTATTTGAGAAATAGCGCTCGATAAAATTTGTTCACTTCTTCTATAGCTTGAATAAATAATAAATAATGCCTAAATAGTTGCAGAACTCTAAAAATTCCGGACATAATAAAGAAACAGCTATACTTATATAAACCGTACTTTAGCGATGCTACACAATGTGTATACTAAGAACTGTTTTGTTAAAAAAGCCATCTATTCCCTACAGACTTTATTCTTTGGTAATGGTTGCGATGTCTGAAAGGAATTTTATACTGATTTTCAGTATGTTCAAGCGAGTTCAACCGATAATAAAACTAGATTCAAACTCCCAATTGAATATATTGTGAATAACAATCATTATTCATGAATGAATTTGAAAAACGGGTGTTATTCACGTCTCGCTTTTCTCAGCTTATCATGTATTTATATTAGTAATCTCTATAAAGATTATTTAAGTAAACTATTTTTCATCGTCTTCCAAGTATAATCCTAACAAAATACATTCATGGTCATTATGTTATTGAATATTATTTACTTTCAACATTTACAAGTGAACAGAATGCGTCAATGCATCCTTAAGTGGAAGTTATAGTTAGCACAATTTATTGGATATACTATAAAAACTAAACGCGGTTTGAAATTTCATAAACAATTGCAGAACTCAGAACCGATAAGAAGTTATTTTGGGAAGCACATCCCGCCTCTATATTGCAGAGAAGTTTCTCGAAGCCCAACAAGACCATGGCTTCAATTTTGATTGTCCTTCTCTCGGTTGCGCTCGTTTGTACCACCATTGCCGCGCCTACTGAAGCACCGTCTGACGCAACTACCGTTGCAAACATTGACAATAAAAACGTCGGGTTAGTTGAATATGTTCGTGTCGTCGATCTGATTCCCGTAGTCGTGGTTAACGCAAATGAAACCACAGAAGACGTCACAGACAAACCGGCTACTGAAAATAACCATAAAGTTGTGAAGAGGTCTGCTCTGAGAGGTGACAACCCCAGCAACGATCTTCTGGCAAATCTTGATGGTTTAAACTATGAAAACGGCCTCTCGAACTTCGCAGGACGTAGAATAAAGTTTCTGCCCACTTGGTTGGGTTAGTCTTTATTGGGTAATTGGGTGACATACGTGCATTAAATTATGCTCTATATTTTACTATTTTGTATGTACTTTATATGTTTCCGTGCAGGGTCCCTTGCCTATGGAATTTTAAGAAACGGCAATGTCATGTAAGGACCTAATAATTTAATCGTAAAACATATACCTAAGACGTGTATGAAGAAATGTATTTCGTTTTTTTTTTAATTTTTAATAAATAAAATTACCTAATTAAATTTTTTTTTAAATTTTAAGTGACGAGATCACTTTTCTGGGACTAGAGCGGTTACACACGGAGACTTTTAGCAGCAATGCAAACGCGATGCTATAACGATGCAGTCGCTAATCGTCTACCTTTACACACACGCGCGCGATTTTAAGCAGCGATGCAAATGCGATGTAAGCCCACGACTGCATCGCTACAC